TGGGACGTCCTTCAACATGGCGTGTCCCGATCGATTTCTGGGTCAAGTCACCAAGGAGAGAGGAGAGAGGAGAGAGGAGTCGAGGAGGGACATTGGGATGAACCTACAGTGCTGGACGTCAGAGAAATCAACAGAAGAAGATAGACAGGAAGTAAACACTAAAGGGAACAACAGAATAAGACAAACAAGAAGTTAACAGTAAAGGGAACACTTTTTAAATTAAAAAAACAACTTTTAAATCAATATTGTGAGTCAAGTCGTTGGTTTATTTGGTATGTAGCCGTGTTATAAGCAGGATAATGTGCACTGGTGATCTGGATCCTGACGCGAAGTGGAGGACAATGTTTGTTGTCCACAGCTGACATCACTTATAAAACCCAGCAGACGATGCCGTTTTCTTTGTTAAATCTTCAGCTCTAGGTCAATGCTTGACAGTTTATACTACTGTCATACATCTGGGAGCTACACAGATGAAAGGAAAACAAGATGTCATTGATGTTGCCTGCTTTCCATTAAGCATCCATTCCAAAAGCAGAAGCAAATGTTTCTGCTCAGCCTTCTAAATTACGAGCATCAGTCAAAGTGTCATTTACCCGGTTAATGTCGGCTAATGCTTTCCCTGTCCACACAGCACAAACTGTGCTAAGTAATGGCATGTTTAGTGAAGAGAATCCAGCCCGGGCTCCAGTGCGGATGCATGGCCCGACAATTAGCAAGAGTTGATTGCAGTCAAGCTGCAATTTCAATTGTTAATAACCAAAAGAAAACATTTATTTATGATGCTGAAAATGGTTTTGCTTTTAGTAGCAGTGGCCCTAAACCATTTGTGGTATTTTATTGTAATTAGCTAGGAAAACATCACAGAGGTACCCAGAACTGGAGTGACACATTTTAACTAGATGCATTTAATGACCCCTTGGAAAAATAAATTACTGTGTATAATTCCAACACACAAACCATGGTTGAATGATATAAAACATCATGCAGCATCAGATATCAGTTTGATAATCAGGTGCTTCCACCCAATCCATATTTTGCACTGGTTCAAAAATAATGAATGTTTCCAGTCCCTTTTTTAAAATGTATTCTAACCGAATGTGCTAGCTGTGTCAAGAGGATCACATCAAACCAACCCACTCTCTTCAGTCTGCGTACAAATGACATGACTTTACACATTGGAAATGCGTGCAATAGATACGCAGAAGTCCGATTTTGCGTGCATATGATATGCTAACCATTCCCATTGAGATCTGAGGCCGAGTTTCTTAAATACGTTTATTTTCTACATATCTTTGCCATTTATTGTCTTGCTTGTAATAATGATAATAGTCATTTATAAATATCATTTTAGAGCACACATTTGAAATCGAGAATCGGGATCGATATATGGTTAAATTAAAATCAGTAGGCGAGGCTGTAATTTCGCCAGCTGTTACTCTCATGAGCAAGGCAGAAAATAATAGTTGTATCATGCCAAAAAGCTGCTGTGTCCTTTGATGCACCTCAAACATTAAAACAAATCCAGAGTTACGTGTTTCTGTACTTCCTCTAAGAAGAAAGGAAAGCAGAAGAGCTCTGTGGCTTCAGGCTTGATCGCCGTTCAAATGACAGCGTTGGTTTCCCCAAAAGTGGGCGGGGCTGTAAAGTGACGTAGATTTTACTCTCATCTATTATTCAAAACCATTCTATTTATTCTAACGTAAATTACATGCCAGTGTTTTATCTTTTTATTTATTTGTTTTTATTTTAAATTGAATAATGTCTGACTTTTTTTGCCGTCCGTGAGGAAAATAAATGGGGCTGAGAGCCTCAAAATACTGAAATCTGTATTTTTTTTAATCTTTTTTTCATTCTAATTTGCTATTCTTTTCTAAATAACACACTGTTATTTACTCAACAATAACACACAATTATCCTTGTTTTTATTTATTCGTTTAATTCTATAATATTGGGCTTTTTAGCCGTAAATAAAGTCGCTGGAAACAGACGTAGGCCTATATGGGACATTTCGAGCGATACACACCACACACCCACTGAACTGATTACCCAAGATCCTCAGCTTGAAGCTCGTTGATTGGATGTTTTAGCCGCAATGCACGTTGGGATATGGTGTTAATGCAATATGATATCCGAAAACTTTAAAAAAAATTAAATAATACTTTGTTCCGAGTGTTCTTGCTTTTCTCTTTGGAAGTCATCACATAACGGCATTGTAATACACGGTTCGGCTGCATTAAATATTACACATCTGCCGTAGTTCTTTATTTATAGAGCCCTGATGAGAAGACTTCTGGACAAACTTGAAGAACTGCTGCCAAAACTGAATGTGACGTGGATCATAAATATATCAACAATTAAACAACATCTTACATTTCTTTTCACACAACACGTCTCCTTGCAGTATCAACACTAATTCGGCTGACTTTTATATTTGATCCAATTGGTAGATTGGTATATTTACACCATAACGGTGCACAGCTGATAGAAAAGGACTTGTAGTTTTTAAAGATATTACTGATTTCCTTTGAATATAAGAATGTAAATACTGAGTTGAGAGAATAGTCAGGGGATGTGGGTGATGGGAGACACATCTATGGAATCACAATTTCAATAGCTTACCATGAAATGACAGATATACCTTTCTGTCTGTGATGTTTTACAAATCAGATATTAATGTGTAGAAGTAAAACATGAGAAATAGTATAGCAATATCCTGTAAAATTATGTAAAAACATGAATAAAACTACACATCTTCAGATGTTATACATACATAAGTGTCCTTATACATACAAAGTTATTCAGAAAATTCAGATTTTACATAGCAAAAAACTGTAAATTATAGTTTCCGTCCAAAAATTCTTTTTTACTTATAGTGAAAACCACCCTTGGATGATGGGTTAGTAGACTAAAAGCTTTAGGAATCCAAAGTACAACATATAAGTAGTACCCTGTATCAAGATTGATGCAAAACAAGTGACATTTGACCTTTTTAGAGAGATTTAGCAAAAAGAAACCACTTCTGGGGTCATTTGGGTGGATTTTCCATATCTCTGGCCCCCCTTGCTCAATTTTGATGGTTGACACCTCTTTCTGACCGTTAGAGCCAATAGAATCGAAGGGGGAGTCCCCCACACACACACGTTGTGAACAAGCTGCAAACTCTGGGGAAGAGCCGGGACGCCAATACGGAAGTGCCACAAACTGCAGTTCACATATTGGCCGATAGGCGCTGACTGCAGAAAGGAGCAATTTCCATAGACCCCCATGTTAAAATGCCCAATTTTACAGCCTAAAAAAACATGTTTCTACCCATGGATCCAATAAATATTATTATAGATATAGTTAGATTCCACCTTCATGATTATGAATCTTTGAGTGAATTGTTTTCTCACGCGACCCTTTTATTTATATTAGGTCTTAAAGTTTTTGCATAAATTAGGGCGTGGTCACATTGAGTGACAGCTCTGTCAAGTCACTGCTGCTGTTAGCTTCTTGTCTCTCTGCTAGCTGCCTGCTCCGTGAAGCTACAGGGACTCTGCCTGCTCAGTTCATCCAGGGAACACAACTTGACCCCGGCCGTGTTTGTTTGTTCTTCATGCTTATATCGGACTATTGTGACTCGCTCTGCGGTTAAAACAGACGGTGCATGAATGCGGTTTTGTGGTAAGTGAAATTCGAGTACTTTATTTATGTGTTTATGATTTTAATCAGCTACGTAATGAATGTGTTAGCGTGTAAGCGAGTGGTAGCTACATCGGTGCTAACGATGCTAATCGTAGCCTCCAAGTTAAAACCATAGACTGTATATATAAAGGTTAAAACATAGACCAGTGTTAAGCTTTAAGTGGATAATACTGTAGAACAAACGTCTTCTGTTTGAGGTTGATAAAATAAGGTCATCCTTGTAACTTAGAGAGATATTTTATTATGTAGGTAGGAACTTTATGCATCGCTAAGGTTAATTTAAATTGGCTATGCTCGAGTATGTAGACAAGCTAATGTCGAAGTAGTGTATGTGAAATCAACCTCACAATAAGATGTGTGTATATTACAATTATTAATGTCATATTTCAAGATGATTACTTCGATATTACAATATGGTTGGTTGAGCTGGAGTTCATTATTGAGCTTACACGTTAACGTCACAGTCATCTGAAGAACGAACCCAAACCTTGTTGTTTTTATTAATTGCATTACCAAATTGGTAACAAATAAATAGTAAGCATTGGTAACACAACTTCCAAAGTTACAGCAAAATAAAAAGGACCCTGACTCGGACAATACACAATCCAACATGTTCAACAGAAGAGAATAAGTTATATTGTTTGTACACATGGTACTTTACATATATATCTGTTTGTTTAAAGTGTCCAGGCGATGCAGACAGGCTGGACCAGAGAGTGAGAGACAGAACTGGACTCCTCACAGCAGTGAACTTCAGCACAGGTACAAATACTCTTTTTTCATACTGTACAAAGAATCAAGAAAGATATTGGTTTAAATAAATGAAGTATTGACTTTAATACACTGATATACATTCCATTAAACAATACTAAATACTAGATCACCTACACATCAGTTAAGTTGAGGGTTTTTTCCATGCAAAAGGTTACTGTGGCAGCGGGGTGTGGTTAGGGCGCCGGCTGCTGGTGTGAAGGGAGTGGCTCGGCCGGAGGCCAGACAGCTGATCGGAATCAGGTAATCAATCACTGAATAAAAGCATGTGGTAACCTGGTTCTGGTCGGTCTTGCAGTAGGCAGGATCCTGGGAGGTCGCCGAAGGACCTGTGGAGGAGCCCACACGGGCAACGTTTTGCAACCCGTGTTGTACACTTTGTGTTGGTGCTAATAAACGCCTGTGTTAAACCCAAACCCTGCTCTTTCCGTCACTCTTTGAACCCTGTGTGAGCAGAGAGGCTCACAGTGGCACCTGAACAGGGACTCATGTCGGAAGGAGAAACCCCGCTGGGTCAGGCCCTCCAACGTCTTGCCCACATGCAGGAGACCACCACAGCCTTGCAGCGACAGCAGAGCGAGGCTCTGCTCGGGATCGCCTCGAGCCAGCGCGAGGACCGGGCCCTCCTACGGGAGCTGCTGCAGCGTCCGGCCGCCCGGGAGGCCGATCCCGCGACCAACCCGGCCCGACCGCCTTCGATTGCCCTCCAGAAATTGACGGCAGACGACGATACCTGGACATCTTTGAGGGCACAGCGGCGGCGTGCGGGTGGCCGGAGGAGGAGTGGGCAGCGCGGCTATTGCCCCTGCTATCTGGGGGTGCGCAGTTAGCCGCCCACAGCCTGCCCGCAGCCTCTCGGCATGTGTACCGATATCTGAGGAAGGCCATCCTGGACCGGCTTGGCAGCACGCCAGAGGGACATCGCCGCCGGTTCCGGGCACTCCCCTTCGAGGACGCTGACCGGCCCTTCTCATACGCGCAACAGCTTCTGGATGCAGCGAGCCGCTGGCTCCAGCCGGGGGTGCGCTCGGCGGAGGAAGTCGTCGGGCAGGTGGCGCTGGAGCAGTTAATCGCCGGCCTGCCATCTTCAACGGCGAATTGGGTCCAGTGCCATCGCCCCGCCAACCTGGAAGCAGCCGTCGTCCTCGCGGAGGACCACCTCTCGCTTCCCCGGCGGAGCGTGAAAGAGGAGCCCCGACCACCGGCTGTCTCAGCGGGCAGACCCATCCCAGCCCCGAGGAGGAGATTTCCTGGAGCAGCTGCCCTTCCTCCACCACCACCACACGGGCCCAACCCCGCAGCCCCGACACTTCACCCCCAAGCCCTACCTTACCCTCCTGTTTTTATCTCTCCCCAGGGTCCGGCCTACGCTTCTGGTCGTCCGGCACCACGGGGGGCTCCTCAGACGCCAGGGCTGGATTGCTGGCGGTGCGGGCAGCCCGGCCACTTCCGACGGGAGTGTCCTCTCATGGAGGTCGGACAGCTGGTCCGGGTTGCGGGACCGCCAGTTGCCTCCCCCGATTTGGAAGGGACGTACCGTATACCGGTATGTATACAGGGGGGTACACACCAGGCTCTGATGGACACGGGCTGTAATCAGACGATGATCCATCAGCGCTTGGTTCGGCCTGGGGCATTGATTGAAGCATCGTGGGTGAAGGTGAGGTGTGTGCATGGGGATATTCACCAGTACCCGGAGGTGACGCTGGAAATTTCTTATAAGGGAAAAAAGCATAGAGTCAGGGCTGGAGTTAGCACTCGCCTTACGCACCCTCTGATTTTGGGAACGAATTGGCCGGGGTTTGCTAAGCTAGCGGGGGCTATGGGGGTGCGTTCACGGACGGCAGGGAAATGTGAGTTGTGTGCTGTGTTTAGTGGAGAGTCGGAGGCGGCTGACGACGTCGAGGGGGAAACGGACACGGAGGGGGCCGCGGAGGTCCCTCTGGCCCCGCTGGTGTTTCCTTTGGAGGATTTCCCCCTCGAACAGTCGAGGGACGAGACCCTTCAGCACGCCTTCGACCAGGTGGTGAGTATTGATGGCTCCCAGCTACACCCAAACGCAGCACTCACTCACCCACACTTTACGGTGGTTAGGGACAGGCTGTATCGTGTGAGCCGTGACACACAGACAGGAGATATAAATACCCAGTTGTTGGTGCCAAAAAGCCGTCGGGAAATGGTTTTCCAGGCGGCTCATTATAACCCCATGTCAGGTCACCTAGGGTACGACAAATCACTACACCGGATAATGGCCCGATTTTATTGGCCGGGCATTCGCGCAGATGTGAAGCGGTGGTGTGCATCTTGCCGTGAATGTCAGCTGGTTAACCCGCCGGCCACCCCCAGGGCGCCTTTGCGCCCGTTACCATTGATTGAGGTGCCTTTTGAGAGAGTTGGTATGGACCTCATCGGGCCATTAGACCGGAGTGCACGGGGATATCGCTTTGTACTGGTCCTAGTGGATTATGCCACGCGATATCCCGAGGCAGTGCCGCTGCGTAATATCTCTGCAAAGAGCGTCGCACAGGCACTGTTTCACATTATCTCCCGAGTCGGGATCCCGAAAGAGATCCTGACTGACCAGGGCACACAGTTTATGTCACGCACACTACGCGAGCTGTATGAACTATTGGGCGTCCATTCAATACGGACTAGTGTTTACCATCCTCAGACCGACGGCCTGGTGGAACGGTTTAATAAAACACTAAAGAACATGGTTCGTAAGTTCGTTCACGAAGATAGTCGTAATTGGGATAAATGGCTAGATCCTCTGTTGTTTGCAGTGCGGGAGGTGCCCCAGTCCTCCACGGGATTTTCTCCCTTTGAGCTCTTATTTGGCAGGAAGCCCCGGGGTGTTTTGGACCTAGTTAAGGAAAACTGGGAGGAGGGTCCAAGCACCAGTAAAAACGAAATACAGTACGTTATGGACCTGCGAGCAAAACTCCACTCACTGGGGCATATATCACGGGAGAATTTGCTCCAGGCTCAGGAACGTCAGCAGCGCCTGTACAACAGAGGGTCGAAACTGAGACAATTTTCACCGGGAGATAAAGTGCTTGTATTACTCCCATCCTCTAGCTCTAAACTACTCGCCAAGTGGCAAGGACCCTTCGTGGTCACACGACGAGTGGGGGACGTAGATTATGAGGTGGTGCGTTCTGACAGGGGGGGAGCAACACAGATTTACCACCTTAACCTCCTGAAAGCATGGAGGGAGGTGGCGTCTGTTTCTCTGGTCACCACGGTGATTGAGAGAGATGAGTTGGGACCGGAGGTCATTAAAAGTGTTGATAATTCGTGATCTTCTCGTTCCCAGGAAAGAAACTTAAAATAACGAGACTAATGGAGTCTCTGAAAAGGTTCAAATGGGTAGTTTAATTAAGTAACGTGGTAAAAGAATAAGCATTGGGTAAGGGAGAGACAAAGCCGGCGTTGTCTTCAGGGAGGCTGCAGCGAAGAAAAGGGGCGAGCGGTCCTCTGTCCGCTGTTTTTATCCATGTCTCGTCGTCTCCCGCTGTGCAAATAGTGGGTGGCCCCCTACTCATTTGCCGGTTCGATATCGCGAGAGCACAGATGATTTCGACATTGATATTCTCTGCCTACTTCCTTAAGCATTTTCTCCTCATTATCTCTGTCATGACTTTCTATTTAATACCTTATAAACAGCTGTAATACTTAGTTTAGAAGTCCTAGTGGTTCCGCTCCGGCAGTTCTTATTTTACGGAAATTCCCTCTGACGTCATAGCTTCTCACGTATCTGTAAACACTACGATCAACTAGACCATTTAATATTCAGCAGTAATAATATCTTAACGTCTATCGATGTAGTGTTAAAGTCCGTACGATTTGGTGTGTAACACTCCAAGTCATTTTCACTTTACATTCAGAAAACGCAACATTAGTCACAAGCTAACCGGATAAAGGATTTTTCAGAATAAAAGCTTGGCATTGATTTCCTGAGAACTTCCGGGCTTTTCCACAATAAAACAGCTTTAAACTGACGATATGTTTTAGACTGAATTATGCTGTTTAACATTGATTTTAATTTCTAACAATCCCTCCTTTCACACCATTTAAGGTGTGAACACAATACTAAAAGTAATAAGTTCTTCATCTGACTGCTTTTAAACTGACGGTATGTTTTAGACTAAATCATGCCATAAAACATTGAATTTTAATTTCTAACAAAAGCAACAAATTAGCCCCGGTCTGTTGTGGCGACAATCTCGCACCGGGCCAGAGAGCAGACGTTGCTTCGTTGCAAAGGCAGTTTGCCGATGTGTTCTCCCCGCTGCCAGGGCGCACCTCTCTCATACACCACCGCATAGAAACGCCCCCGGGCGTGGCCATTCGTTCACGGCCCTATCGGCTGCCTGAACACAAGAGGAAAATTGTTCAGGCGGAGCTTCAGGCTATGCTAGAGACGGGAGTGATAGAAGAGTCCACCAGTGACTGGTGTTGCCCCGTCGTGCTGGTACGTAAGTCCGACGGGTCAATCCGGTTCTGTGTGGACTACCGCAGGGTGAACGAGGTGTCCAAATTCGATGCTTATCCAATGCCCCGGGTCGACGAACTCCTGGATCGGCTAGGCACTGCTCGCTTTTACACGACGCTGGATTTAACCAAGGGCTATTGGCAGATTCCCCTTTCTCCAGAGTCTAAGGAAAAAACGGCCTTCTCCACTCCGTATGGCTTATACCAATTTGTCACACTTCCTTTCGGGTTGTTCGGAGCTCCAGCCACTTTCCAGCGGCTCATGGACCGGGTGCTGCGTCCCCACTCTGCATATGCTGCTGCTTACTTGGATGATGTCATCATTCACAGTGAGACATGGGAGCAGCATATGCAGCAGGTGGGGGCAGTGCTCGAGTCCCTGAGGCAGGCGGGGCTCACGGCCAACCCGAAGAAGTGTGCGGTTGGACGGAGGGAGGTACGGTATCTGGGGTACCACTTGGGCGGCGGGCAGGTGCGGCCACAGATAGAGAAAACAACCGCCATTTCAGCCTGTCTGGCGCCCAAGACGAAAAAAGAGGTCAGGAGGTTCATGGGGCTGGCCGGCTACTACAGGCGGTTCATCCCGTCCTTTTCGGAGCTGACCAGTCCCCTGACCGACCTGACCCGAAAGGGTGCTTCAGATCCGGTCCAGTGGACGGAGCGGTGTCAGCTGGCGTTTGAGAGGGTTAAAAAAGCCCTCTGTGGTAAGCCGCTTCTGTATTCTCCTGACTTCTCTCTCCCTTTTGTGTTGCAGACCGACGCCTCGAACAGTGGGGTGGGGGCCGTTTTGTCCCAGCAGGTGGAGGGGGTCGACCGCCCCGTACTGTACATTAGCCGTAAGCTCGCCCAAAGGGAGGTGAACTACAGTACGGTGGAAAAGGAGTGCCTCGCCATACGGTGGGCGGTCGGCGCCCTGCGGTACTACCTCCTGGGGCGCCCTTTCACCCTCTGGTCGGACCATGCCCCGCTCCAGTGGCTCCACCGCATGAAGGATGCCAACGCCCGGATCACTCGGTGGTATCTGGCGCTACAGCCTTTCAACTTCAAGGTGATCCACAGGCCGGGTAACCAGATGGTCGTGGCTGATTTCCTCTCTCGCTCGGCGGAGGGGGGGGGGAGTCAGCTTGCGGCCGGCGGGATCCCGGCCTGAGTCGGGCGGTGGGGGTATGTGGCAGCGGGGTGTGGTTAGGGCGCCGGCTGCTGGTGTGAAGGGAGTGGCTCGGCCGGAGGCCAGACAGCTGATCGGAATCAGGTAATCAATCACTGAATAAAAGCATGTGGTAACCTGGTTCTGGTCGGTCTTGCAGTAGGCAGGATCCTGGGAGGTCGCCGAAGGACCTGTGGAGGAGCCCACACGGGCAACGTTTTGCAACCCGTGTTGTACACTTTGTGTTGGTGCTAATAAACGCCTGTGTTAAACCCAAACCCTGCTCTTTCCGTCACTCTTTGAACCCTGTGTGAGCAGAGAGGCTCACAGTTACATTTAGATGTTAACAAGCAATATGACTTGTCAGCTTTCTAATTTAATGTATTGAAAGCAAAACTATTTAACACATAGTGAGAACTGCTATTTATCTCTCAATATTGTCTGTAAAAAACGTGGTAAAAGTTATTCTTTCAGTGAGACAACAGAGCAAGCTTCTACAGTTGCACTAAGTTTTGATAACAGTTCAATATTATTTTGATAATAAAATATATTTCAATGTTGATGCATTTCATACTGTTCATTCATAATCTGATTGTCTTTGTAGCTCACTGTTGAAATAAAAAACAAACATACAAAACATATAAAATAATATCTACAGCCCCTAAACACACAAACACACCGCTTTCATAAATAACACAATAATAATATGTTTTATGTTTTATGTTTCCTGTAACTTTTGTTAGGAAAGGACATGCCTGAAAGACACGACTCAACATTTTCTCCTTCTCTGAGGGTCAAGAAGAACATCCAAGAGGAAAATTAAAAGCTGATGTTATGAGATTTTAAGACCAGTACAGGACATTCACTAAGAAACTACTTTTATTGTGAAAACAAAGTCAGCTGATCGAATGCACCTATTTCCACATCTACACTCCATCAGCTGATTAATTCTATTTGCCTCACTTTATGAGCTTCACATCACTTGTGCCTTGTACCACAGAGGCCTAGGCTCCACGGGGACGAAAACGGGTTGAATCCGCATATTTCTCATGCGTATAACCCTTTAAGCTCAACGACGCCGTAACGGAAACGTAGAAACAGACCCCGCAAACGACAACGGGTCCAAAGGTGGATAGATCTGGGAACAGAGCGCTCTGGGGGGTCCAACGGGGCCTTGGGGTCGCCTATACGGTCATCCGTTTCATAGCCCCGCCTCTCCCCGCCTCTCCCCACCTCTCCGCGTACCCCGCATCATTGCTGATGTGTTTCGTTAACAACAACAATAGCTATTTTAATTACCTCTCAAACTACCTAAACTAGTTATAAATATGTTTATTTTTACTGTTGAGTCATCATTACTGGATCAGCTGCTGCATGAGACAGACACTGACGCTGTGAGAAGAGAGGAAAAAGAGACAGGCTCTGTGTATTTTATTATCATATATCATTATATCGTCGTTATCCATTTGTTTTAAAGCTCAATAAATAACAAAGAAGACCTTTGACCGGCACTTTTATAATTTTGTCCGGAAGATTTAAACTTTAACACACGTTGACCGGCGAAAAACTCTGCCCGGATCCCTCGGCCCCCACCGCGGAGAATAAACAGAAGTGCAGCCATGACAACCATTCTTCTTCGCTGCTTTTGTGGAGGAAGTTGCTGCTTTTGTGGAGGAAGTTACAGCGCCACGTACAGGCTCGGCATATGTACTGCAGCTTTTCCAGCGGTTGGATGTAAACGGAGCCGTCTCGTGGAGCTTGACACAATCCGGTGTATATTGCGTGTGGGCGGAAGGTTTTTTGCGGTTGCGTTTGCGTTAATCCGATGCGTTTTGCCGTATGCGTTCCCATGGAGCTGGGGCCAGAGTTTGCAACGTCACAAATAAATGGGGCCAATCTTCAGTCAGATGTGAATGTGTAATCTAACATTTTCAGTAAGAATAATGGACAAAAGGAGTGCAAATACAAATTCAATTTATTGAAATGTAAACCTATTAAATGTATAAGTAAACACATGTAGTCAAATAAAGTGACAGACTAGGCCTGATCAGGTGGTATCAGCTATGCATGGGCTCCTCCATCAGGCTTGGTCCTCCTCGCAGAGGAAAGACCCTCAGTCCTCTCCGGCCAAACCAACAGACAGGACGTCCATCACACGGAGGTTTCTCTCTGAAGTCTCTGCAGCTCTCTGGACACCACGCTGTCTCAATCCATCTACACTGAATATGAGAGGGGAAAAATGAAAATAATAAATGCTTTAGACAATAAGAAATATAAAGTTGACTGTTGAGTTGCTCAGTTTTTTTAGATTGTCAATACTATTACGGAGCGTCCACACAGCAGCGTTAAAAAAATCTTGGAGGTGGGCGTATCTGAAGCTTGGGGATTTTTTGCGAGCAAGGCACCAACAACCAATCACATGAATCTCCCGCCCCCGACATACGAAGCAAAAAAGTTTGAAGTAAACTGGATATAAACTCCCCAAACAGGCGAAAACATACCACTGTCTCTGCCACCTCCCTCCATGCCTGGCTCCTCCGGTTTATATCCCGGTAGGTAAATAGGGACTGGTCATAAAGCACCGGGTGATTCCCTACCGCTAATTTCTCCTCCATTTTTTGGAATATGAGGAAATGAACTGCGGTATGTCACTCCCAGCTTACACGCCGTTTGATTGGCTAGAGCTTGAACGGTCAGATTTGCGTACACAGGATTTGATTGGCTGACGCTTCCACCTCAGCCTCAAAAGTTGAACATTGTTCAACTTTGAATCCTGAAAATCCTGAAAATCTCCGCTCGCCTGCCCACAATGCAGTTCGGCGAAAAGTGAGGGAAAGTGACGTCACCCCATTCAAAGTGAATGGGCAGAAGCGTTTCAAGATTTTTTTAACGCTGCTGTGTGGACGGTCCGTTACTGTATAACTAATATCTCAGGTTAAGAGGCACATTCAAATAAAGATTGGTCTTTAAATACATTTTGTCTTTTGAATTGTTTGTCTAAAGTCAAGGATCTAGAACTGGTACTTATAGTTTTAATGATACAGTCTGGTTATAATGCTGTTTGGAGGAGGCCTCACAGGTAAGAGCACTAACTAGCTACCATCACATGTACCTTAGCTTGACTTAAATGTATTAAACGTATAATTAAGTGATAGCAAAGTATAAATAACTAATGTCATGCAAACATATTAATATTTGCTTGATTCCAGTGTTGCATTTAGCACATTGCATACAAACGTTAAGGGATTTTAAGATTCTGAAGTATTATGCTAAAAACTCAATAACTTAGATTATTATTTATAGTTTTGCTGAATAGTTTCATGTCCGCTTACCTTAGAAACGTAAAATGTGACGGCAGTGTGCAGATGGGGAGCATGTTAGCTTAGCTTCTTAGCTTAGCTTCTTAGCTTGAGCTAGCTCTGTTACTTCCAGCTCGGAGGCAGCAGGTCCCGCCTCGGCTCCGCCTCTTTGCCCTTATTTGGAGCAGGCGGGAGTTAGACTCTGACTTCACTGTCGAGCCGTTAGTGGCCGACTCCGCCTACTAAGGGCTTCTCGGCAACTCTGCAGAATCCTATGGGTGAAGTCACGGACCCTACGTCCATTTATATATACAGTCTATGGTTGTGAAGAGAAAAGGTGGGGGCTTCGCGCATGTAATTTTGCATCAGAGTGAACCTATCTCTAGCTTTGACATCTGGAAACGGAAAAGCAGTTTTAATGCTTATGGATTATCAGAAATCATTTCAAAGGGACACAGACACATTGGATTAACCTATGGACTTAACTTCAGCAGCATTTTTATCGTTTTAATGCCATTGAAGACCACTTTGGAGAGACTACAGAGCCAAGGTAAAAATATTAGCATTTTTAGCTACCTAGCGTCACCTGTTTTGATGTCCGTTTTTGCTTATAACGTCGCAAATACGTATAATTCAGTGGTAATGTCGGTGTCAATAGATTCTGTGTCACCTCACGATGTGAAATGATGTGTTGGATGTGGTGAAAAGATAAATAATAAGGTTTTGTGAGTGATTTTCGGTGCAGTAAGGTGTTAGCATTTTTCGCTCGTTGCTAATTCAGAGGCTCAGTGTTAGCATTGTGGGTTTTCTTTTGAAAAAAAAAAAAAAATGATCAGTTAGATGAGTTTCTTCCTGTTACATGGATATAAAACATTCATAGTTTTATTAAATGAACATGCCCTCAGACACTGTTTCCTGCAAGATGTTGCGGCAGTGCCCCGGTACCGGGGTCTCTCTGGCTTAACAGGTTAAAGAATACTTTAGGTTAAGGTCTTCTTTTAAATAAGAAAAAAGCTTTGGGGGTATTTACAGATAAATATTAAGCCTGACAAAGTACTTAACGTCTAATATATTGCTTTCCTGCAATGTTAACTATGTTGAAGCACTTATTTTAACTGATATTATACACATTAATTATACTCTTATGTATGTAGATAGAATAAGAAATGTGCAGAATATGACAGTTTAATGGTAACAGGGTTGCTCCAGTAAACACAGCCTACATGGCAAGCATTTTTATAATATACAGTAATGTACAGTAAACACTATCTTTGAACTTACTGCAAAACTATAACATCAAATTCACCCCTGGTGTCATTCTGTCTGTCACCCCTTGATTCTACTTGCTCTGACTGTTCAAATGAGATGTGAACCATCAAAATTGGATAAGGGGTTCCAGAGATATCACTGTGCAAAACACACCGGCCAATTTTGACCGAAAATAGTATGGGAAGGGGGGTATGACCGAACGCAAAAGAAGGGGTTAACTTGTGCGTTGAAACCATTTTTATGTCATTGCAAATAGAACTTGTTATACAGAAGATGTTGTAGGAATTATTTTATAAGATAAAAATATTCTCATTTAGCAAACATACTGTAATTCATGTTAGTCTTATATTCATATTTCTAACATCACATGTTATGTTGTTATTGTTATTTAGTTTTTATTTGTGCTTGTCGTTTTGAAGGAAATTCAAATACTGTATTGAGTTGGTTTCTTCTGTTTTGGAAGCCTTGTATATCTTTTTGGTCTTGTTAAAATACCCCATGGTAAAACTGTGTTCTAACAGCAGTTAAAGAAGCTTAGTTTGCTGTCTTAGGCTGCGACATGTATTAAGATGGTTTGCTCATCACAATTTACACATACAACCTAAATGTTCATCTGTTTATTGTTCTTCTTGCCTTCATATTGGCTATATCTTGACATTATGTTCATTTTATCATACTTGCCATACATTTATTTTAATTGATGTAAATGTAACTTTTCTCTTTACATATTCAAAACACAAAA